TGTGACTCAGTTGCTTATCTGTAAAATGGGAATAATAATAGTATCCATCTCGTTGTTAAAATTACATGCGTATATACATGGGAAATGCTTAGAACAGAGCCCGGGACACAGGATGTGCTATGTAAGTGTGCACTATATCCACTATGTAAGTGTTATTACTGAACGTTCCAGCATCGCGTGGCTGATTCTAGGGGCCGCTCTCCATTTTTGTAGATCATTGCTCTCCCTCATTTTTTCCTTTACACTCATCTTCTTTCCCACTCTTAATAGCAAGACAGATGCCCTCCTTATTTGCAGCCTAGTTTTAAAGACTGTATTGGCTTTTTTTTTTCTTTTTAACATTTTTTTCAAACCCAGACAGGGCTCTCCTTAAGAGAATTCTGGGAAGAGCATTTTCTTAACCTCTATATATGAATATGATCTACCTGCTGCTTGGTTGAGTTTTTATTAGACAGTATGTGCTGCTCACTGCATGTCAGCTCTGTCATCTCCCGTCTCCACAATCCAGCCAAGAACTTGTTATACGCATGATAAGAACCTGTGAATGTTTTGTCTCCTTTAGAGTTGGCAGCAGTGTCAACATTTCCCGCATCATCAGATGGGAAGGATGATCCTGGAGAGCGTGGTTGTAGGGCTTAAGTGAAAACAGTTGTCTAGGGTTTAGCAGAGTTAATGCTCTACGCATGATACTGTTGTTACTGTTCTCTTGAAATGAGTTTGGGGAGATCAAACCAGTGCCCTCAGCCCACCCCAGAGACCATGGTCCTGGCAGAGAAGACTGCAGCCTCACCATGCCCCTGACCTCCCGTGCTCTCCCTTTTGCAGAGTCCCTGAGGCAGGAGCTGTCGGAGCAGCGGGCTGCCTGCTCTGAGCACCAGAAGGACTTGGAGGCACTGCAGGCTGAGCTGAGGGCCCTGGGCAGCTTGGACCAGCGGCAGGCCATCACCCTGAGTCCTGGGGACAGCGAGGACCACGCCGGCACCGCAGAGGTCAGTGCCCCCGCCCTGCCCATACCACACCCTTCTGGGAGCAGAATCAGGGTGAGGCTACACCCCATCTGAAATGGGGAAGACCCTCCCCTTCCACAGGCCTGGGGGACACTTGACGAGCCTGCAGCCTCCCATCTTTAAGTTTTAAGTGCAGTGTGTTATTTTTGATTCAGATACAATAGCATCTCAGGGGGTTGGTGCCAGACAGGCCTGGAGACAGCCCATCGGGGTTACTCCTTTGGACCTGCAGGGGATTTCACGAACACCTTCCCAGACAGACTCCCTGTCCAGCCCTCCCTGTTCCCATGGGTGGGGGCTGCTTTTCTGTCACCAGATGCTGACTCTCCTTGAACTTTCTGGTCAGACTCAGCCCCCTCCTTGCCCGTCCATAATTTGAGCGCAGTGACTCCTCACAGCCCAGGCCTCTCTCCTCGGCCCACCACAGATGGCTTCAGGTCCTCATCTAACGCGCGCCTGTGTAGAGCCTTCAGTGGCTCCCTAATCCCATCAGAGTAAGCTCCAGATGCTGGGTGTGACACTGAAAAGCCTTCAGCCACTGGCCATGGTTCGAATCTCCAGCGTATCGCCCTCTGTGCCAAACGTGGGCTCTGCACCTTCCCTCAGGGCCTTTGCCCCCTGCCTGGGACCCCTCCTCCCGCTTCAGGGCCCCGCCCAGCCCTCCACGCTGGGGACCCTCCACACCTGTGAGCCCCTGGAGCACTTCCTGTTGCTACAGCTCAGCTGGCACCGGCACCTACTGCCCATGCCGTCAGGGACCCGGCATTTCACAGGTGTCCTTGTTTCCTTCCTTCCTGGATCAGGAGTCCCGTGAGAGCAGCCATGTCTGCTTCATCTCATCCCCACCCCGCCTCCCGCACTCAGCACACAGTTCTGCACACAGTAGGGTCTCCACCAGGGTTTCCAATGGCCATGATTAGTTGATGTCCCAGCCCTGCCAAAGATCGCAGGAACATGGGGTCGTTCATTTTGGATTTTGGTGGTACCGAGCACCTAATTCGATTCCCATGTTTCGTGAGCATTACGAACAAGTGTGAATCACAGTAAGATCATCCTGGTGGGTAAAGTCCAGCAGATGGAAGACAGAACGTGATCTGTTCCATGTTCTAGACCAGTGGGAGCCACCTGTACCTGTGGAAGGGGACAAGGACTGTGGGATGATGACAGCTGGTGGCTGGAGGGTCCAATGTTGGGCTCTCCACAGTGACAGGCTCCCCCGAGGGTTATGGATAGAGAAGCGGGCTGGGTGGATGAGACCATACCTGGTGATCCACACGCCAGCCCTGACCTTCACCTCACTGGAGGGAAGCCCTGAACTCTCTGGGAGGAACAGCCAGGCCTCACACAATATCCCACGCAGAGAAGAAATACATACACAAGGAGGACCAGCCCCAGGCAGCAGGAGTGATGCGGGTGCAGTAGAAGGATGGGTTCCCAAGGAGGCCGCCACTGCAGGTAAGCGGTGTTCCAGCCGCTGGGATCTTCTGAGGAGCCCCATGAAATAATTCTCAAATTCGTCCCAGCCAAGGACAGAGGGATTTCCTTCTCATTCTCCCATTAGTCAGGGGTGGCCTCACAGGACCCTAACCAGGGTGTGAGTGCCAGGTGGTGCTCAGAGGGGTCCCACACCATGCAGACCCCAGGGCAGGAAGCAAGCGGTCCGGGGCCTGGGCCACACGCTCCTGTTCAGTCCTTGTGTGGAATGAACAGATGCACAAGCCTTCAGGCATGTTTGCCTGGACTTGAAAATTGCGACATTCACTCATCAGGGAGTGACCCTGACCCCTCTGATTTAATGTCGGACAAATCTGTATTTCTGTCTGAACCACTGGCATTCAAGCATCATTTCATAGCAGGTGTGCATTTGGCGCCTACTGAATCCCAGCCACTGCGCTCGGGGTCATGGGACTGGGAAGACGAAGGGGAGACGGGTCTTTCCCAGGACGGCTCCTGGGCTGGTGGAGGAAGCCAGCATGTCAGCAGGGCCGTCAGCGTCCGTAGGCGGAGAGACAGCCGGCACGGCCTCCGCCTGGGAGCAGCACGCAGGTGGAGAGTTGGGCCGGTTTTCATTTCAGCCACATTCTGGGCTCACCGGCACTTCTGAGGGCCCGATTTGGTCAACTCTCAATGCAGGGAAACTTTAAGCGGCTAAACGTGAGCTGCTGAAGTCAGCAGCCCAGTTTGGGCTCCAGGCGGGCGGAGCGCAGGCTGGGTCTTTGCCGCAGCACGTCTGTGGCCCTTGTCTGCCCTTGCGCCTCCTGCAAACCGCGTTTTCTCCCCAGGAGGCGGGCAGCCCCGGCCAGACGGGGTCCCCGAAGGGCGCTGCTGAGCAGGAGCCCCGCGAGGGATGCGGCCTCCGGGAGGAGAACTCGGAGCTGAAGGAGGAGGTGCGGCGGCTGCAGGCGGAGGTGGAACAGCACCAGCAGGAGGCGCTGCAGCTCCGCGACCAGCGCAAGTAGGCCTGGGGCCCCAGAGCTCCCCTCCCTCCCTCCTTCCTTCCCTCCTTCCCTTCCCGCCTCCCCCACTCCCTCCATTGCTCCTTGGTGAGCCTCTGGGATCTGAGATTGGGTCGCATCCTCCGCATCTTCCCAAAGAAAAGACTCCCTCATATGCCAGCACCTCACTGATGTCACTTCTTTGACCCAAGGAAAGTATCAGTGGTCTAGGAATTCTAGATCGCAAAGCCACAGGGAATTTGCCCTGAAATAGAGAGGAGGGGTTTATCCTATTTCCCTACAGGGAATTTATGGAATCCACCCTAACGATGCGAAAAGTAGCCTCAAAACCAACCTTAGGGAGACAGAGCAGTGGAAGAGCTCAAGATAGTGCTGTGTGCTCTTAACTAGCTGTGTGACTTGGGGGAGTCCCCTACCCTCTCTCAGACTATGCCCTTACCTGTCAAATGGAGAAGGCAGCAGCTCCTCTCAGGGATGTTGCAGAATGCAGTGAAACTTACACAAACGCTTTGACCCTGGCACTTGGTAAATTGTGGTGGTCACTATCACTAGCTTATCCAGGCTGGTCTGTGACCCACTCCAAGGTTAAGAAAAATGATAGCTGATGGTTGAACATGTGCTTTGTGCCATGGGCTGTTCTGGACATGGATTAACCTGATTTATCCTTGCACTAACCCTACAAGGTAGCCACTGTTGTCAGGTGGAGACACTGAGCAGAGTGTAGCTCGCCTGAGGTCACACAGCTAGGAGGTGATGGAGGAGGCTGCAGGAAGCCTGGCTCTGGATGCTGTTCTCCTAACCCCTCTCCCACCCTGCTTTTTCACCCTGGACTGCTGATCCCCCAGGTCTCAGAGTCCCAGCGTTTGGTAATTCTGATACAGAATCTCAGCCTCTGGGTGCCCCCACCTGCCCCAAGTAAAGGGAGTGTTTTCTGGGACTCCCCTCCAGAGCTGTCCCCCACCCTCTCCCCTGCAGGCTGCCCTCCATGCTTCAAGGAATGCTGGGGTGGGAGGTGCTGAGATGGGGTCCCACAAGCTGGGTTTATCCTGGACCCCACAACTCAGGGACCCCAGGTCTCCTCCCATGGTGTCCTGACCTCAGATTCATAACCACCCCCACCCATTGTCTCCCAAACCTGGCCACCTGGCAGAGGGGGGAAGGAAACCCCAGTGCCTGAGAGGGTCCATCCCTAGAGCCTGGGCAAGCCCAGGTGTGCTTCCATCCCCCCCAACCCCCGCAGGCGGCTGGAGGAGGA